ATCTAATTGAATAAAGTTATATTTTTAAACAAAACTCCGAATTTGCCTTCTTATTTGAAATCGGCAATGACTTAGTTGCCAACCTAATAGAAGCCCATACAGTAAGAAAAAAATATAGGTTAGATGCTCTGGCCACGTTAACAAAACGAAAGATAGTATAGAGTGAATCTGTCATCAAAAACGGCAATGATTTAGTTGCCCACCCAATATATGCTCTGCTTTCTCGGATCCAAGCAGCAACATCAAGTTTAATTTGCCGAAAATTCTTTATATTGATGATTTAATCAATTTGGGCGGTATTTTTTAACTTTCACATTTTTTAATTAATGCCACAAATCCTACCCTTTTTGGTTTTTTGTTGGGGTTGAAGCTTTATCCTTTTTTTCAATTATCCGCACAATTATTTTGTGGAGGGCTTGCCAAATTGAAATATTTCTAATTTGGGAAACATGGCGCCAAAATCTGATAAAAGGGTCTAAATTTGTTGAAAGATGTGACTGCATTTATTGTAATTGCCTGAAATACACCTTTAAACAGAAAAATGCCTTCAGTTTTGGCCGATTCTCGAAATTTAAAATTATTTTGCATGAAAATTAAAAATTTAATCAAGTTCCTGTTTTTAAGTATCTAAAAATTTAAAATAGAGCATCACTAAATTGATGTATGAGGGCTTACGCATTCAAATTTTTTACGAGCCTTTCTTCCAATGTCTCTGGAGGAAAGCTTTAGCAACCCTTGACATGGTTAAGTGGAAAAACGTGGAACAGCTTCAATGAAAAATTCGCAACCTGCCACCCTTCATCTTGGCCATAATTATCCAGCGAGGCTAGACATCAATATCAGTATGAATGGGCCGATGAGTAATGATCTTGTGACCTCTAAGTAATTGTATTTCCATTTTATATCTGTCGAACATGGACTATTGCCTGATTTATTCATTCAACACCTTATCCAAAGATAGAGTATCTTCGTTATACTAGGTTAAGGGAAGAGATGTTATTAAGTGCAAGAGAGAGTGCCAAGTAACATCCTTCCAACTAATGACATTCTAAATAACCTTTAGGTGAAGGGAACAGTAGTGAACACTGTTGTATTAGTAAGTAGTTTAATACAATTTGATGCGGGAGATAGGGAATGATAAAGTAAGGCTCTGAGATAAATAAGAAGACAGAGCTAGTTACCGAAATTTCCGTTTTTTATTGGAAGAACGTAGTAAAAAAACAGACCTCGGCGTTTACTACCTAAAACTTGACAGATATGATGATGGAAATTGTGTAAAAACTAAATACTCAAACTTATGAGGTAGAAGATTTAACCATCCTTCGATTACAAAATGGATAAGCTTTTTTCATATTATAATTATAGGTTAAATTATGTGCGGTTCAGCTAAAGTTGCTTAAATGAACTTATTATGACCTCTGATATCAGAGCCATAGTGATTAAAATGACTGTAACATCTAGACTCCTACTAATCACAACACGTAACTCTGATAGGTATCTTTGGGAAATTTCTGTTCTGATACCTCTCTTTGATCAGAGCTAACTAGAAATGTTAAACACAAAACAGTCGAATGTGCAACGAGGGGCACTAATTTCATTATCTTTTACTCTGTTAACGTGCCCAATGACAACTCAGGAAGCTGTGAATTGGAATTTAATAAAATGCAGCATCTTTGACAGGACTACAAGCTTTTATCGAAGAGGCAAACAAAATGGAGTTCAAAGAATTCAGGAATCAAGGGGCCCAAACGTTTGTTGAGAATTTGGTTATCCTCTTTCTTAAT